CCTAGGCCAAATTTTTTTTTTTCTAAAATAAATAATAAATAAATTAAAAACTTTAAATTACAACCTTTGAAGAAAAAGTCATCAGAAGTAAGACTGGACAAAGAGTTCTTAGACATAACACCAAAAGTATGATCCATAAAAGAAAAAGTTAATAAATTGGATCTTATCAACATTAAAAATTGTTGCTCTGTGAGAGACCTGTGAGGAGCATAAAAAAGCAAGCTACAGCATGAGAGAAGATATTTACAGACAACATATTCTGTAAACACTTGCACTCAGAATGTATGAAGAAATTTAAAAACCCAACAGTAAAAATGAAATCCAAATACAAAGCAGACAACGAGCAAGACATGAACAGACATTTCACTGAAGAGAATAAACACCAGGCTAACAAGCAAATGAAAAGACACTCAACATGATTATCCAGTAGGAAAAATACAAATCAAAACCACAATCATGAGAATGGCTGAAATACAAAATAAAGGTAACAACAGGTGCTGGCAAGGATGCAGAGAAACTGGGTCACTCTTATGTTGCTGGTAGGAATGGATTTTAAAATGGTACAGTCACTCTGGAAATGGGTATTGCAGTTTTCTTCAAACTTAACATGCAATTTACCTTATGACTAGCAACTGACCTCCTAGGCACTTATTTCAAACAAGGGAAAACTTTATGTTCACAAAGCACCTGTACACAAATACTCTTGCAGCTTTATCCATAACACCTTCAAACTGAAAATAATGAAATTGTCTTCCAGTGGGTGAAGGAGATCTGCTGGTTGAACTCATAAGTGAGTCAACACAAGTGCCCTTCCTCAAGGCTACCATTGTACTTCTCTGTGTAGTAAGGGTTTTATGCATATTCCCCACTTTCTCTCAAATAATATTAAAGACATGTACTGAGGTATCAAAATCTAATAAACATAAATTTTTACTGCTCCATCAAAGATAATCTGAAGTGGGACTGTGGTTTGGAGCCACTGCCTGGTTCTGCTAAGGTGCTGGGTGTGTTACTTACCGTGGCATTTGCAACATTAATGGAAAAGTCAACGTAATGAAACAGGCAGATGGCATCTTGGTATTTATGTGAAAACAGGTTTCCCTCCAGGATTCTCTGAAGGCAGCTCAGGGGATACACTTTCAAAATGGCAAAGATCAATTATGGTTCCTAGTGGGACACAACCCCTAGCCTATTCCAGTTCAGCTCTCTCTCTCTCTCTCTCTGTTTTCCCTCATTCTTCCAACTTATAATTGTATAAATTTTCAAATGTGCAAAGAATCTGAAAGAATAGTGCAGTAAAATTCAAATTACCACTCTGATATATTTGCTTAATATCTCTTTATATACATGAAAGCAGCATGTGGAATGATGGCCAATAGTGACCCAGAAGGGTAACGGTGGTTGGCAGTGGGTGTATGATGAGAGGGGTTTCTTGGTGGGTACAATGTGGCCGGCTCCAGTGACGGATGCACTGAAGGCCCTGACTTTACCACAACTCAATATAGCAACGTAGCAAAACTGCACTGGTGCCTCATGAATGTATACGAATTTACAAAATAAAAAATAAAATAACATATCTCTTTATAGATACAGGTAAGTATGTTTGTATAGCATGTGTGTGAATATGTGTGTGTGTGTGTATGAGTGTCTGTGTGTGTGTGTAGAGAGAGAGGCAGCACCAATGAAGATTGTGTGACTGAGCCATTCTAAAGTAACTTAAACATAAAACACGCATGGATAAATGTGTCTGTGACAACAAACCTGAATACAAACATGAAACAATATATCTATAAACACATCTCTGGATAGATAGCTTATGAACGAATTCCCTACCCCAGCTCCCTTACTGGTTACCCTGTGAACACAGGCAGGCAGGAAACAGGACCTGGCTAGGGTTCCTAATCTTTCTCTTGCATCCAGGCAGGTCCTGCATCTGCTTCTGCTGCACAGAGGGCTCCCATCCCTGTCTTGGTCAGTTTCACAGGTGCTCCCCTAACTCTCTCTGCCTCCACTGCTTTATCTGGGTAGAGCTCAGGCTGCCCTGACCAAGAACAGCACCATCCACCTGTGCCCCCAAAACCAGGAAGTTAGGAAGAACCACACAACAGGGTCAGTAACTATCCCACCTCCCCAATCAGTCTGAACTGATGGCAGGAGATACTGATGCTTGCTTTACTCATCCTCATTCCCAGCTCATTTATTCTGCATTAATTCCGTTCACATGTCCCTAGCAGTCACTTCACCCCAGAAGCACTGACCTCTACTCTTCATAATCAGGAAACCCCAAAGCACTCTCTGTCACCTCCCTGATATCATCTTCAGCTCTACATCATCACATGTGGGCTCCAACTCTGCAGGGCAGATGTTCCCCCACAGGGTCAACCCCTGAACATTGGCCCCAGATGTCCCCCATCCCTTCTCAGCCCTTTCAGTGCTGCTGTGAATCTGTTCTTCACTGAGAACTGGTGGGGAGATGTGGGGGAGGAGGGGAGATTTCTCTGTGCTGTGTCAAGGCATCGAAACAGACCTCTCCTTCTCTCCTGAACCTCACACTCTCTCCCTTCTCAGACACTTGAAATAAAACGCAGACCAGAAATGTCTATTTAAACGTTAAATATCTATAGTATAAAATATGAAGACAGAGTAGAATAGGGTAATGCAGGAGAGTGGAACAGGGATGAGGGGACCTCAAGGTTCCAGAAAAGCTGGTCCTGGCTCCCCAGGAGGAACCGTCACCAGGACACTCACTCATAAAGCTCATCTATAATAATACAATTACTGCACATGTGATATATTAAAATATAATAACAAAATAACAAAAATAACATGGCACAGCTGCAAACACCTCATATATGGTAACGCTTATCATTCATTCAACCACAAGAAATAAATACTGTTAATTTCCCCATTTCATAGATGAGGAAACTGAGGCACCAAGAGGGAAAGTGCTGGTGAGACCCAGGCAGGGAGTTGAATCCAGGACGCCTGGCTGCAGAGTCTAGCCGCCCTCAGTGGAGCCAGTGGACCCAGGAGATGACACGGGAGACTGAAATCCCAGCTGTGCACTGCCCTGGTGGTCTCCTGTCCCAGCCAGGTGTTGATCCGGGCCTTGTAGGTTCCCATGCTCTGGAGAAAAGAGAAAAACAGTACATGTTCCACTGGGTGCAGGACGCTGCTTTTATTCCCTGAGGACTTCTCCCTCCTCAGTCACTCCAAAATCAGATTCACCCTGTCTCTGAGGGAAGATGACGTCCCCACTTTTTTCTCCCTCCCATGACACTTTTCCCAGCCCCTGCCAGTCCCCTCCCATGACTCTATCAGCATCAGCACCTGCCCTGTGCCCAGCACCCATCGCGCAGGGAGTGAAAGGACCCCAGGACTAAAGAACAAGACCCAGGAGGAAACTCAGTGCCCTTCCCTCCTCTCACGCCTGACCAGCCCTGACACAGTGGGAGGCCTCCCCAAAGAGAGGCCCTGGCCGTGTCTCCATGTCCCTCCAGACCTGGGCTGGGTCACACACACACAGGGTCCTTCTCCCCTTCAGTCCCCAGGCCCTCCTCATCTGCAGAGGCACCTGCACACCAGGGCAGACCCTGCACATTGTGGGTTCTACCCTCCACCTGCAGCTCAGCGTTTCTCCCCTCCTCGCTCTGAGCAGGCAGCTTCTACCTGGAGATCCCATCAGGAAGCCCTGGGGCTCACAGGCCCAGCATGGAAATACGTGGCTGGATGGAGTCTGCACCTAACCTGATGCTGGGGACCCCCTTGCTCAAGGAGCCCTCCCCTCCCCATAACCTACACTTGGGCTGTGATTGCCTATGCCTGGTGCACTCATCCCTGGAAACGCAGCTCCATCCCAGAACTGCTGCTTCCTGAGACTGCACAGCCTTCCTGCCGTGTTCCTAGCAGGGATTCCACCCAGGCCACTGCCATTGCAGCCCACAGGGGATCTTCTCCTTCTGCTTGTGGAGTAGGGGGTTTCTTCAGACGCCTCATCCTGAGGCTGCCTCCACCCTCTGCACCTGGTTATTGCCACTGCCACAGCCACAGTCTCCCACATGGACCCTCCGAGAAAGGAAGCTCCAAATTTGAGTTCCTGTTGCACTCAACATGCTTTACAGCATCAGTATTGGAGGACATCTTATTAAGATTATCCAGCTGAAATTATGTTGATGGACATCAACATTTAAAGCAGGAATTTTGAGAAATTAACTTGTGATTTTCATACCCTTTTTCTGGCCAATATTCCAGTGACCTGTGAGAAAACCATTCCTGCCTACAGGGAAGCAGAATTGACAGTCGCTCTACAGGAGACACCACAGGTGAGAGCAGGAGGCACCACAGACCTGCACTGCCCCTGCTGTGAGTGCCTCCGGGACGGGGCCCTCTTGCTGCAGGGCAGGGGATGAACCATCCCATCTGCTGAGGCCTGAGTGCAATTAGGTTCAAGGATGAGTCGCCACTACCCCACCGGACAGACACACAGAAGTGGGAAATGGCAGAAAGACTCGGGTTTCCTGGACACCCCAGCCTCTCACTGTCTCCTGCGCTGCCTCTGTCTTTACAAAAACACAAACTTTCTGCTTTCTCCTCTCCCCTCAAACAACTTGACTGTGGGGAAAACAATTCTGACTGTCTCTTATTTTAAACTTGCCAGGCAATGACCATGTTAAGAAAAACATTGGCTCAGGAAAGGCAAGGTGAGGCCACAAAACACAGAACAAAGCCCCAAAAACGGGGATTAGGACTCTGGGGGCTGGAAAAAGAAATACCTGGACATAGGATGAAAACAGGGAACCAGCTGCCCTGGCGGGGTGCTGGTCCCCACTCCCCAAAATGCCCAGGGACACCTGCTTATCTACTCGTCCATATCATCTGCAAGGAAACATAGGGCGGCAGGGGCCACATGGTGAGAACCTGGAAAAAGCACAGCCTTGAGTGACCCAGAGGAAAAAGCACAGCCTTGAATGACCCAGAGGACACAACACCCCCGAGAGAGAGCTCCCGGATGAGGCACATGGGCAGCTGCAAGGTGGAAGAGGATGGCCGTGTGCACTCAGGACCCTCCATGGTACAAGGGAGGCCACAAAGGGAACTGCGCATGCAGGGGCCCTCCATCAGCCTCGTGGGTCTTTTTCTTGGTGTCCTTCTGATGGCTGGAGAAACATGGGTGAGGGATGCAGAGAGCAAGGGACTAGAGGCTCTGCCTCTCCTCGGATTCCTTTCTAGTTTCTAACCTCTCACCAGATCACATTTGTCTTTACTCTTGGCTCCCTCTGAGTCCATGATCATTCAGGCACTCAGCAATCAGCACGCAATTCCCAACTCATCCACCTAGATGCACCCTGGTAAGCCTGAGAGACAGACTGGGGATGGGGACAGAGCAGGTGCCAGTCCTTACCTGCAGCAGGAGGAGGCCACAGCTGGACGTTCAAGGTCCTTGGCCCAGCCTTGGCTTGGGCAGAACTTAAGGGCGTCAAAAATAAGCTACACATGATGGTTCATTTTCAATTCTATGTTCCTCAGTATAGGTTCAACATGGACATAAAGAGACACATGGACACAAAGAGATAAAAAAGCAAAATGTACTAAGCCATCCCCAGCTCCTTCCTTCTTTCCTTTTGATGCACCGGCCAGATGCCGATCAGTTGGGGCCCCCTCGACGACCCCGTCCCCACCTCACCAAATAATTTAGTTTAGGCTAGCTTGCAATGTAGATAATTGTACCCTTTCTTATCACCTAAATGCAGCCATTAGGGCCATAAATTAAATGTTTAAGGAGTCCTGAGACAATCGCAATGCATTATGGGCTGCAACAAAATGCAGCAAAAAGACTGTAAAGAACATACTGGAAGCTTTAATCAAACTACAATAGGCAACATCCAGAAAGACTGTAACCCCGTAGTACTCAGCTAATGAGGAACTGGGGGAGGGACGTGGGCACTAGGGAATAAATTGTTTGTTGAAACCGTCCCTGGTGTGCCTGCATTCCAGACACCCGATACTGCAAAACTGTTGCTAAAAGTCTCACTTTCACTGTTCTCTGAGAGAGACAATTCTTTGGGTTTGGATGGGTGAGTTTGTTTCCTACAATCTAGCCGCCTGTATGGGGATCACTGAGCTTGCATGAAGTGAGACTTTGGCGGAAAGAGGAAAAGTGTACCACTGGATTCATGTGGCCCATTCTATCCAGATGTCCAGGTTCCCCACAGAAGCCATAGACAAACTTGAAACTGTTATTCAGAAGACAACGAAAGTGACACAGGGAAAAACAGAAAAGCAGGCACCGCGGCAACCAGGCAAACTTGTGCATAAGCCCAGGTAGGAAGATTGGACTATGAGCACTGCCTTGGTGGTTGGGCATTTTCGGAGGTCAAGTGTGTGTGACTGAGACATATCCTAGATATGAAGCGAGTGCGGAGACCCAATCCATGGTTCTGTTCTCCCAGGAAGGAAGCGACCAGAGATGGACAAAGCAGTTACAAAGCAGTTGACTTGCGAGTTGTGAAGAGACCTCCAGTAAGGGGGGCTGAGTACACAGGGGAACTCAGACTCAGGGAGCAACCGAAAATGGGAAGCAAGAATTCTAGGACTAGGGAACAAAGGAAGGAGGAAGCCGAGGAGGCCCCCTCCAGCATACCCCCAGATAGTCCACTGGGGAGGATGTTACAGGCTTGGGAGAATAACACTGGAACCAGGAATAAGGAATAATAATAATAAAAATAAAGTATTGCTGTTTTCTCCAGCCTAGAGAGCCCATTCGTCAGTCTTTTGGCCTAAGTTTAGCCCAAATAAGGACTGTGTATGCCAAGCTTTAATTCTTTATGTGAATGATAAATCCCCATCCTCACAAGAGGTGATGGGTTATGCTGTTTGTTGAATTAGTGAATTAACCCCATGTTTCTCCTTAAAGAGAAATAAAAAGAGCATAGTAAAGAGCCCTCATCCAATGAAAAGCCTTGGGATCCCCTAACATGCTTGCCCTCATGCCATACATCTCACAAAGTAGAGGACAGGGAGATCAGGGGGCAACAGGAAGGTTGGAGGAAAAGGAATCTGGGGGTCATGAAGGAGCTAAACCCTAAAATCCTTGTCCAAATTTAAGGGAAGAATTAGAACAATGTAAAAAGGATATTAATAATTTCCCTATTCCTTCTAAACAGCAGGGGTCTAACATGTATCCTCTCAGAAAAGTCCCTATGGGACAGGGAAAAATTGGATTTGTGAGTACGCCTTTAACAAGTACTGAGGTTAGGAATTTTAAAATGGAAATGACGTCACTCTTAGAAGCTAGCTCTCAGTAAGGCTGCAGAGGGCCTGGGGGGCTACATAAGGAAAATCAGAACTAGGATCACAAACTCAAGTGACTACAGGGTCAGCAAATAATAAAAAGGAGGGCTGCAGGGCTGGATGGGAACTGTGGCGGCTGCTCAACTGTTCTTACAGTGCCGGCACTGTGTTGTCAGGAATAGCAGGACGGGTCCCATCTCCGTGGCCTCAACTTTGCCAACCTTACAGTGGCTCAAGAAGCGGGGACTCAGCCTGCCTGTGGAGAAGGCCCCACCGAAATTTCAAGTCACCCAGCCCCACCCCAGCGATTGCTCACCCAATGAAAATGGACGCCTGGAGCTGAGGACCAATCAGAAGTGGGTAGGGCGGGGCCACACGCCAAATACAAAGTCCACGACCAATTACAGATTTCTTTGTTCTTTCTCCGCTCCCACTGCTAAAAAAAGAAAAAAAAAAAGAAAAAGAAAAAGAAAAAGAAAAAGAAAAACGTCTTCTCAATTAGATAACGGCGACTGTAGTACAACCTCGTGATTATGCTAAAAGCCACTGAACTGTACACTTGAAAAAGGTAAATTACTAGGCACATGAATTATACCTCAAAAATAATAACGCCATCCAGAAAGCCTCTTTCGATTGAGAGAACTGCCTCCTCTCCAATACACATTTCTTAGTGTTCAGGGCACCTAGCCAGGAGTCCTCAAACCTATCTTCATTGAACCACCTGTAGAGTTTTTAATATCCACGGTCCCAGGCCACAGCCAAAACCAATGGACTCACAAAGCCTAGGTTACATCTAAGTCTTAGTATCTTTTAAAGCTCCCTGGATGGCTCCAATGTGTAGTCGAGTTTTAGAACTACTATTCCAGCCGACGGTTTGAACATCCCTGATGGTACCAACTCAGCCTGCCTTCAACCTCATCTATTATCTTTGCTTTTTTTCTCTTTTTTTCTTTTAGAACGATCTGGGGGATCTCACTCTGTCACCCAGTTGGAGTGCAGTGGCGTGATGACAGCTCACATCAGCCTCGAATGCCTGGGCTGGAGCAATCCTGCCGCCTCAGCCTCCTGAGTAGTTGGGACTACAGGCGAGTGCCACCACGCCCAGCTGTCATGTACCATCTGGTACCAACCCCATTAGACAATGAACCATCTGTGATCAGGAACTGTGTCCATTCCATCTTCGTCAGACTTACAAACATTTTTTAAATGGAACTCTACCTATGATTACTAACCATTCTCCAAGACCCCTAGCCTACACTTTTCTGTAGATGAAAATGTCATACATCACAGAGTTTTAACAATTACTCAATTTTCCCATCCATATTCACTGATTATTTATTTTGATCATCATAATTTATTGAGCACAGCAGGGACTGGTGTCTTGTCCCCACCTTAGAGGAATTATTTACACTGCTAAAGGTCACAAGGGTAGTGAGGGTAGAGAGGGAGATGGACTGAGCTCTCCTGACACTGGTCCCAAGCCCTTCTCTCCACAGTGTCTACCCTCTGTCAAGGACTTTTTCTCCCTGCGCCAGGTCCAGCAAAGGGTCTCATTTAGCTCACCCCCAAAAAGACTTCAATACTTCAATGACGATGATGATAATAATAATATGTAAAGCTTGTTCCAACGCATTTAGATGTGATCACGACAAGACAAGAAGTCCATCCCTCCCTTTATGGGATAGGGGAGGCCGTGATGATCTTGGACTTCCGGTGAGCCGCTCCCCAGGGTCTAGGCCTGGCTGCCACTCCCCAACCAAACCTCCCAGCTCTTTTCTGCCCAAAGCCTTCCCCCTCTACCCAACCTCCAGCTGCTTCTTCCCAGGCCCATCAACTACGTTTTCTCCCTCAGCACTCGCCTTAGATCCCTGGACTTACCAGCACACAGGAGATTTTCTCCTCGTAGACTTTAGGCGCCACTGCTGAGTCTGGAAAAGAAAGAGAAACGGCCCAGCGCGGTCGCGGGTCGCGTCTGTAACTCAGGACAGGACTGCGGTGGGAGCCCACGCGCGTTTTCAAGTCTGCGGCCCGGAGTTCACTGCGAGGACTGGCATCACCCGTCACCCCGCCCTGGTCTACGGAAAATGAAACGTGTTTACTGATACAGAAACGGAATAACGGCGCTGCGGGCTGGGGAGGGCGGAGCTGCCTTCAGGCTTCTGGTCTCCAGCTGCGGGTCACTCACACCTGCCGCTGTGAAATGCAGACCCGCGGGGCAGGAATTCCGAGTCCGGGCTGGAGCGCGATCTGGAATGTGACTCGCTTGAAACAGCAGCGCGGAGGGTTCGGATCCGGGTGAGTAGGGAAATGCGCCTCAGTCCCTCCCACGGGCCACCCACGGATTCCAGGATCCGAAAACGCTTCCTGCTGCTCCGCCACCCCTGGAAGGCAGCGCCCGCCTCTGGGCGGTTCTGATGGAAACGGGCTCCACCGCCCGCAGTAAAACCCATAACTAAGGGACCAGGAAAAAGCCTCTCAGGGTCCCGCCCCTTCAGTGAGGATCCTAATTTACGCTCCGAGTGTGGCCCAGTCACAGACTGGAGCGAAGGTCACTGAAACGATACAAGACCAGCGGGGCCCAGAGCGCTGCCGCTCACAGAATCCGGTGACAGCGCCACCTCGCGTCCCTTCCCTGACCTGCCCTCAGGCGGACGCAGTGACGCGTGTTGCCTGGAGGCTGGAATACACCGGGAATCAAATGCAGAGAATGGAGAAAGGAGGGAAGGATGGGGGGACGTGTTGAAGAAAGGACGGGAGAGGGAGAAAAGGGGAGAGAAAAGGTGACGGCGAGAATAATATTTAAAATATGTGGTCTTATTATATCTTTTATTTTTGCCCTTTATCTAGTTTTGTTATTTATGAGCGTTTTTACCATAGCTATTTTTTCTCTGTGCGGGAATCTGTAAATATACAGCTCATTATGCTTATTTCAGAGCCTGCGAGATCAAGTTACAGACAACATGAGCTTCTACCTCCAGATGTGCCAGGGTGCATCTCTTGGGTACAAGAACAAGGGTTTGGTTTTGTTTTACAAAATCAAAGTACAAATCTCAAATAGGATAATATTTTTAAACCGTCATTGGGGCATACTTTGCATGCTATAAATGTATCTATTTGAAATGTACAGCTCATTGAGTTGTACTCTTTCTGTCATTGGGGCACACTTTGCATGCAATAAATGTATGTATTTGAAATGTACAGCTCATTGAGTTGTACTCTTTGGCTGTTTTACACACCCACGTGTCTGCTCTCACAATGAAGACAAATTACATTTCCATGGTGCCCTAAAGAACAGCCATGTAATAAAATTCCATGCAGTTGTTAAAAAGAGTAGGATGAATTTTTAAGTATTGCTATGAGAAGATCTGTGCCCAGCCTACTTTTACCCATTTTTAAAAGGACAAGGATATATGGAATTATAATGCCAGTAATACCACTTACATAATATATATTTTAAGTAGGAGAAAACCTTAAAATTACTCACCAAAATTTTGACAGGGACTGGGATAACTTTGTGACTTTCAGTTTCTCTGAAATATTGGCATTTTTTATTACAGTATAAACTTGGATTTTAGCCAGGCACGATGGCTCAGGCCTGTAATCCCAGCTCTGGAAGTTGAAGGATAGCCTGAGACCAGGAGTTCGAGGCTGCAGTGAGCTATGATCTCACCACTACACTCCAGCCTGGATGACAGAAAGAGAACTTGTCTCAAAAATAAATAAATAACATTTAAAAATAAAAATAACAAACTTGGATTTGTACGGTGCTTCAGAAAGAATATTTGTTTGAAAAATGTTATGAAGGTAATCAAATACTTACAGGAGTTTAAAAACCAAAGTGTTAATTAAAACCCAACTCCAGAAACTCTCTTTTAAGAGGACTTCATATTTTCATGGCATTGATTCCTTCTCAAAGTGCCTTTGATAGAGCTGTTCTTAGTGCAGTAGGGAGATGTGTAACAATTTTACAAAAGGGGCGGGCTGTAGTAAAAAGGAAAATGCAAAATCCAGTGGGGACATTCCATTTATTTTCAAAGCACGTTTGAAAACTGCGCTGCTATAGTGTCTTTGGGTTGAGACAAAGTCGAGGAAAATCTTGTTCCTGGAGTATTGATTTTCGTTTTCCAAGGGCCAAAGTCTTTCGAAGCAAGTCTAAAAACTCAGGCTGACTTCCGGATCTAGAGAAGTCTCTAGAAAGTTTGTGCAGGCCTCCAAGCTGTAAGAATCCAGCCCATCTTGGTGATGCTCTCTCGGGCTCCACCCAGTGACCATAACCGGAAGGACAGGACGCGGTGAAATGGCATCAGTGAGTCAGAGGCCAAAGGAGGATTCCAAGCCCCAGGGCGCAGGATGTGCTTTGTCATAGTGGGACTGGGGTAGGGAAGCGGAGGCAAGGACACTCAGGGAATAAATGGCAGAGGAAGCAGTCGCGCTAGGGAGGATCCAAAGCGTTCAGACTTCTCCTTTCTTTTCTTCCTGTTGGGTTGGAGGGGACCAACGTGGTACAGGGAAGGGAGGTCCGTGGGATGTAGAGAATGGAGTGGCTACAAAGGGGCGTTGCACGCCCCACCCAAGGGTCCTGGTTCTCTTCTCCCAGTTACTACTGATGAGTTCAAACTAGGCGGAGACCAAGATTTGTCCTTTGCAAACTAGACTCCTTATCTCGCACTCCGGCTGGTTTACTAAATCCATCCTAGTAAAACACAAAAACCAAGAACTGAATTCTGTGTGTGACATTTCTGACCTCTAGAAGGTCCTCCCCATCCCCATTCCTCGTGTGCTCCCTCCCTGCCTCGACCCCTCTGCTTTGTCTCCACTTTCCCATCCCTGTCCATCTATGGACCCCGCTCTTGAGTATCACCCCCTTCTTCAGAGGACGTCCCCTCGTGGAGTACAGACTCCTCCACCTCCAGGAAAAAGAGACAAAGTCCACTGAGAGGGACCTGAGAGACTCCTGTTACTCCGCCCCTGACGTCAGCCTGTCCCAGGGTTCTCTCAGGCTGTGTATGTGTGAATGAGTGCGTGCCTGTGTGTGTGCATGTGTGTGTGTGAATCTGTGTGTGAGAGTGTGTCTAAATATGTGTGTGAGTGTGTGTGCAAGTGTGTGTTCCTGTGTGTATGAGTTAGTGTGTGTGTGAGTCTGTGTTTATGTGAGATACAGAGAGAGAGAGAGAGAGAGAGAGTGTGTGTGTGTGTGTGTGTGAGTGAGAGTCAAAGTGCTAAACCTGGCATCCAGGAAACCCTCACCTTGGCATTGCATGCAGGAATCAGCGTTATGTGCACCTGTGCTTTTATTTCAGGAGCTGGGACAATTATATTAAGCAGATGTGCAGCGTGCCAAGGTCCCCACCACAAAAAGCATTAGAGAGGAGGGTGAGATTGGAGGGGCCCCTGACTCCAAGTCTCCTGATTCCTTCTACACATGGGGATCTTGAAAAAAAGTGCAGGACACTCCATTCCCTCCTGGGACCGAGAGGGAAGCCAGAGCCAACGTGCATGTCAAATTCCATCAAAGAAAAACTATTATAGCAAAATTTCCATGTCACATTTTTAAATTTACACAATGGCTCAAATAGAACCACCATCAAAAAAACGAATTCCTGGCTCAGGTGAGATCACTGAAGTTGGCTGCCAGGCGTAAGGAAACTGCAGATATAAAGAAGGACACCTCTAGTTAGGGCTGCAGCCCAGTCGCCCCTGCATCTTAGGGCCCCTGGAAAGGACCCTCTCCATTCGATAGTGCAGGGTGAGGCAATTTTCGGTGAGAAATGTAGACGCTCCTTAGACCCCTGGAGTTTGTACATTTACTTTTTTTGTAAATGTTGATTTCATTTTTGAACAAATTACCGTTATATAATTTGCTTTGACTTTAAGTGCAAAACAGGAAATGTTCCTGAAACAGGAAACAAGGGACAGATGACCTGCACTGTCACCCCCCTCTGTGGCTCCCTGATGCAATAAAATTGAACCTCTGCCTCCCAGGTTCAAGCGATTCCCCTGCCCCAGCCTCCCAAGTAGCTGGGACTACAGGCACCCGCCACCATGCCCGGCTAATTTTTTATACTTTGAGTAGAGACGGGGTTCCACCATGTTGGCCAGGGTAGTCTCAAACTCCTGATCTCACGATCTGCCTGCCTCAGTCTCCCAAAGTGCTGGGATTACGGTGGCCTGCCTGGGCCAGTTTGTGGGTTTTTATTCCTCCTTCTTGTCTGCCAGGCCATTGCAGGCAATCCCCTCATCTGGTAAATATTTATCAAACACCTACTGTGTGCCAGGCATTTTGTTAAAGGAACTAGGGCTGAGGTAAGACAAACCAAACTCCCCTTGCCTTCGAGGTTGAGCCAGTCTTGCACAGGCGGAGATCAGTAAGGAAATTCTTGCACAAATGGTTGGCAGAACATGCAACTAGCTTTGTGGATGCACATGTAGACCATCTGCTCTGACCAAGGAGTCACAGAAGCTTCATAAGAGACAACATTTGAGCTGTATTTTGAGGTATAACTAGGAGCCTGACAGGCATCCAGGACAGGAGAGCATTGCTCGGAACCCAGGACATGAATTTTTCTCCCTTAGGCCAGGCCAGGACTCAGACTAAGCTGACTGAGGAGCCAGGTGCTTCCTGGCAAGGAAGTGTGTCCCATATATGACTGTCCAGAAGTCACAGCTGCTCAATATTGAGTCTTGAGACAAAGAGAGAGAGGCTTGATTTGAAAAAGCAAAATTCTGCTGGGGGCCTTCTTAAAATGCAGTTTCTGATTCAGTAGATCCAAGGCAGGAACTGAAAATTGCATTTCTAACAAGTTCTCAGGTGATGCCAATGCTACCCTGGACCACACTTTGAGAATCACCACCCTAAGGCCGTCCACACTGATTTCTAACATCAGAAGAGGGCTGAGAGGTGGAAGTATAGATACACTAGACCATGCCTGGCCCATCCTGGAGAGCACCCCAGCCAAGGCTGCAGCGTTTGATTTCCTTGGGATCCCAGGAATGGCAGACACCCAGGAAGGAATCAAATGTGGGAATACAGGGCAATCCAGAGACTCAGCTTCACACAGCATCTGGGGCTCCCA